TTATCATCGGCAGACATGCAAATTGTGAGACTGTAAAACAGTAAAAGTCTTACCTTGCGGATGAAGAGGCGAGGCGATTGTATCTCGGAAGTGAAGACGAAGTCAGGAGCTCCGGTGACGACGTGGACATCGTGGCCGGCGAGAATCAGGTGCCGCGCAACCTACACTCACAGCATGCGGCGCTGATCAGCAGCCAACGGATAATCGACATTCAAACTTGAACCAAAAAAAAATTGATCGGCGTGAGAAAAGTTGACCTCGACCACTCGGGTGGCGTGGCCGAATCCGTGACCGGTGACGTAGTAGGCAAAAACCAGGTGGTTCCTGGACGCCGACACTCCTTCGCCCTCTTCGTCAATCCTCATTCTCTCTCTCTCCTCTTCTCTTTCTCTCTCTAGAAAATAGCAGTTGGTGTCTGTGGCGAAGGAGGAGGAGAGAATCCCAATTATAGAGGAGGAAGAAGAACGGTGTGATTGATTGCAGTGCAGAGTATTTGGAAGTTGTTTGGGTAATGACGTAATTAGGATAAGACGATCAAGAGTCTAGACGGTGACGTTTCAGATTAGTTAGGAATGGATTGAGAGCGGGATTTTGCCGTTTTAATGTTTATCCTCTTCCGCGCGTCAGCTCTGCGGCTAGAGTTGGGTAAAACACGCCAATGCCACGTCAGTTGAACAGACTCTGATCTTCGCCATCCCCAATGTAAGATAATCCGAAACAGTTCCATATTCCCAAGAATCTGGAGTTTGTGCGAATTTGCTTTTTCAGAATAATGTTTCCAAATTGCGGCCCAATTTGTTGGGAGGGAATCTCAAAGCAACCATCCATGATCGGAGTGGTGTGCATATTCGTAAATAATTTATATGATACGGATATATACTATTACAATTGTTTTTTATGTTGATAAACTAATACAATGCGTTTATTGTATTCGTGTGTAGTTATTTTAACAAACGCATTGTAATCGCTTAAAAGTATAAATAATATCGTTTGCTGCGGAAAGTTGATGTAGTAGCTTCACACGGAGCACCTTGAGTTTGTTTGCAGGTGGAAATTGCGCGCCTTTTTCGAATAATCTCAGTTCTGATTGCCGGTGGAAATCACGGGCCCATGAGCAGCATTGTGGATGATGGTGTGTGGGTTGCGATTTGTGAGTGGGTGTGTCACAGTTAACGATCGTCGGTCATAGTTGTGGTTGCGATGTTTAAGCTTAAGCTATTCTACAACAAGCAATAGATAAAAAGCACAACCTATCCAATAGCCTAACCGATCCGAAATACCAAATCATATCGTCTGGTCCACCAAACGCCAAAAAGGAATTATATGGCATTGACTATATTGATGTGCTAGGTCAAATCTCAAGAACGACATTGATCGAGTTTAAAAATAAAAGATCGAAACGAAGAGTTTGATCAATATCATAGACCATTTACGGTAAAAACCTCAACAACAACAACAACAACAAAATCAGTCTTCAAGTACACGTTTGCCCTTTGTTGTGCGTTTTCTTCTTCATCAAAACGGTTGTGGGTCAAGTCCATTTGTCTTTCATAAAATTCAAATCCAGCCCATGAAAAATGGAGAAATTGGTTTGGGCCAATGTACAAATTTGTAATTTCAAATCCCCCCGGGTCTCCTCCTCTGTGTATATATATCGGTCACTCGTTTAACCCTACAATTCCCTCAGCCTTCACAACCTAGGGTTTATGGTTTTCGACATGCGCCGAATCCCTAATTGCAATTCGATTCGTTCTTTCGCTTTTTTTTATTTGTATGTTTTAGGGTTAGGGTTTCTGCGTTTACGTTTTCCAGATTGGATATTGTGAAATTTGAATTAAGGCGAATCGAATTATGATTTTTATGGGGCTGGAGTTTGGCTCTTTGGCTTATTTACAACAGTGCCATAGAGATGAATGCAGCTTCCCTACATCAACCTCTCAACCTTTTCACCCAATTTCACCACGTCTTTCTTGCATTCTGGCGATTTTTTCTGATGAGGTTGATACATATATTATCTTGAATTTAATTTGTTTCATTTATTTTTGAATTTAAGGATTTTGGTATTGGATTCGAGCGGTAATTCAGGCAGCCCCCTTGCGATAACGATAGCTTGGGAGGCGTTTAACTGCTCGTATATCGATTTGCTTTTGCTCTTCAGATTTGCTGAGATTTCTATCTTTGAAGCTGGTCTAGTAGGCATCAGTACATTCCTTAAACTTGTTTTCTAAGTTCTCCAACATCCCGAGCTGTTGCCGAGCTGTTGCATTGGAAGTGATTTTCGCACTCTCGTTTTTTTCCTTCAGCGCTCATTCTTTGGATTTATTAGGAGAATTGAGGGCATAAACAAGGAGACTTGTGTAGAAATTTGAACAAAATTGAGCTACACTATATGATTGATGTGAAATTCAATTAATTCGCAAGTTACGGAGCAAAACAAATTTCTAAACTGCGGGATCAAACTAAGCAAGGATGGAACCGAAATCAACTCGGAGTTTCCATGGTAATTTGTAAAATTTCCCCAGAAGTGGCAAATGTCATTCAGTTTGAACAAAATACTAGACTGGGACTAGGTGTCTGGTAAGAACTGGGACTTACGATGTACAAAACTAAAGTACGAAAGCACGGCTCAACCAAAGTTGTTGAACTTGTTAGTTACCAAGTGACGGGAGTATAACTGTTCTGGAGGAGTTGTGGCTCCATCCAATGTAGTTGCTGTTGCTGATGCCAGTGGTGTAACCCACTCGATCCTTCCATCATCGTTCCACTCGACCCTTCCATCATCGTTCCACTGAACCCAGACACTTCCGCCCCATTGAATCTGTTATCATCTGTGTCCATCATTTCAACTTCCATGGGCTCCGACTGACTTGCAATCTGTGTCTCATCTCGTGAAGCTGGTGGGAAGTTGGGTGCAACCCAGGGAACAACAGCCATACACCCATTTGAAACATCTTTGTTTTCCTCTTCAGACCCACGATCCTCTACCGGCTTCAGTGACTTTGAATATCCCCATGAATAAATATGATCTGCCAGAAACAATTCGGTTACTAAAACGCACGATTAACAGACCAGTTTCATGTAAACGTCAGACGGATACTAAAAGTATTCATTCTAAACGGAAAACAAGCCACCATTTTCAAATTTATCTGAATCGAAATATGAGAACTTTGATATACGATTACATCAAAACGGAATTAAACAAAACATAGCTGCCACCAAGTCATCTCCATCAAAAGCTTGTTGATAATATGAACAGACATTGCAAAGAGATCACAAACACATACTATTGCAAAAAGATCACAAGCACATTTAATCACTTTTCAATTCATTCGTCCTACGACGAATGCTTCGGGGCAGCTCAAAAACCATTCAAAGTTGAAATAATAACTTCAAATTAGATTATATGATCACAATGATTTGCTACATATCAAAACCAAAGTTGTTAAACAGTAATAACAATACATAGATCCAAGAGCCTTACCCCTTAAACCAGGAATCAAGTCCGAATTCACAATGACAGAGAAATCCCGCGAATCGGGTGCTTTGAAAAACCGCGTATTCGCGGGGTTATAGAGCACAAGAGCTTTCTCATCCCCAGAAGGCAAAGGTTCCGTTGGCAAATCATCTGTTTGCATCACAACACTGGTTTCTGGTATCGGCATTTCTTCAAACATCTGAGCTGCACTACTTTGGTATTCATTTACCGTTGCAAATAACCCACCATCCTTCAAAATTTCCACAACAAAAACCGAAAATTACATTAAAAAAACTCTAGCAAATTCTCAAACAGAAAGTGGGTAGCAGAGTCCATAACCATAACGTCAAATTTTAGTAACAAATTGTTGAGAATTGCAAAAGGCGAGGAAATAAACCCTAAATTGCTGGGAGATTGGGAACTGAAACGAAAAAGAGAAATTGGGAGCGGAGAGAGCGTACCAATCTCCTGGATTTTGAGAAAGGAGAGAAGTCGTCGTCGTCTAATTCTACAATGTCCTTGCGCTTCATCTCTGCAAATTCAAAAACCCTAATTTGAATCTCTCTCTCGCCGTCAGCTTCCCGTGTTTCGCACCTTCTGCTTCTTCGTTTTGGGTTTATTTATTTGGTTTTGGTTATGGTGGGTGGTTTCTTCTGGGTGTTTCTTCAACCTTCTTCCAATATCTTTCTTCACTAATAAGAACACTTCCCGCCCATAACACGCGGAGAAGGCCCAGATCGATGCTGCCAATGCTAGCCCAATGTATTGGCAAGGCCCAAATTGATATTGTTAAACAATTTGAATTACTACTTTCAAACAACAGACCATTTAAAGGAATGGAGCTCCATTTTATTCAAAAAATGAGGATTTGTTGTGTGACTTACTTCATATCGAATTTCAACAATCTCAATCGTATATTTTGTAAGTCTCGATTCATAGATCGTTCTTGTAAAATTTCAATTCAATCCGAAACCATTTATCTATTTAATTATCACGATTAAATTTTAATATTTTTCTTAGACCAAAATGCTCGTCAATTTCTTGAAACTCAATTAGATGCTTCAGATAGTTCCGATTTGACTAATATTTTGCAAGGATGAATTTTGAGCTCCACAACTAGTCCCCATTTTTATAGTAAAAAAGGGAATCCCTTCTCTCAAAGGTCTCCCTATTCTCAAACCAAAAACAATATTCAAATTTATTTTGATAAGATAAATATGAAGCTTATAAATATACAAAAAAATAAAGGAGAAATATTTCTTTTTATAGAAACAATTCTTGTGTACGACTTTCATATACACTGAGACACTTATATAAGAAATGAAATCACTTAGACACGCGAGCGTTCCACCTGTTGTGGTAGCTAAGGTAGTGTATCCATCTTCTTGTCATGTTCTAAATGTTTTTTTAAGTAGATTAGAGCAGTTTACAATTATGTCACAAAACAATTTAAAATTTTGTTTGCATTGGGGGAGTGGCAATCTTGTAATTTTGGTAGACACGTCAGACTACACCTCTGCTATTCGGATAACGAGCAGATTAGCAGCGTGCCACTTCACTCTCCCCCGTCTGTACAAAATCTCACCACCAATCCAATCCCAATGGCGGCGACGATGACGTCCTTCGCCCCCTGGATCCTCACTTCTCTACGTACTTCTCCCTCCCCTCCGCCAACGACAAGTCGTTTCTTCAAGCCCGCTAATTGCTCACCCATCATCCAACAACAACAGCAACAACAAGAGGTAAGCCACTGAAAGTTTTAAACTGCAAGTCGTTTTTCTGCAACTGCAGACTTTTCGAACGCTCCGACTGATTCGGTTCCTGTTTTTTCCAAGGCTGACGTGTCAATTCTGTGCGAGGATTGCAACGGGAGAGGGTGGCTGCTCTGCGACTTTTGCAAAGGGCAGAAAACGAACGTGAAATCCGAGACCAGTCGAATCTACCGGCGATGCCCATCTTGCAGAGCTGTGAGTTTTCAACTCCTCCTCACAATACCCAATAATATTTTGTTGTTAAGAGGTTTGATTTTTATGGAGATTAAGTAAAATATTTGCTTTTTGGTGCTTAATTTTTAGGGCTTTTCACTTACCCCTGAAAAAAAAAAATTACACTTCAGAAAAACACTTCAAACGCAATTGTCTAGAAAAAAAAAAATAAGAAGAAAGGGTTTTACAACTAAGAATCATTAAGATGATATGTGGATAGATGAAGGTGTTTTTCTCTAATTCAATTCTCGAAGTGTTTTTGTATAAAACTTAGAGTTGTCGGTTTTTTTTTTCTTTTCTTTATAATGAACAATATTTTCTTTGGGGGTGCAGATTGGTCAGGTGTTGTGTTCAAAGTGCAAGGTTTTCAAATGTGTCACATTCCCAAATTACAATGATGGTGATGAGGTGTCTTTTTAAGCCTCCAATTTCTTGTATCAAACATGCATCCGAAGTCTCGAGTTCAATTCTCTTCTCCGCTCGCTAATATATAAATGTGATATGAGTGATTGATTCCTCCAACTTTGAGTTTGAACAACTTATGTTCATTATTCAGGTTCTCATCTTTTTTCCTTGTGTGTGGTTTTGTTTGAGAGGAAGCAATAATACAATTTACAAGTGAGAATTAGAAAACCATTTTCCAGGTTTTTCTTGTCCATATAAATTGAGTACATTCCTACCATCCACCACTGAAAAATTAAGTACCTGAATGCCTAAGTAGGCCTGAGTTCACAATATTTTTAGGCATATTGAGCAGTGCCACTTTTAAGAAATAATCTGTTGAAGTTTTAAGGTAGTGGAAATTGGATTTGGATCCTTCCCTGAGCTCAGAAATCTGAGCCTCTGACTAAATTACACGGCCTGTTGGATTTTGATGCAACGGCTACAAACAGGGAGTCCCTCTGAAAGTCATAATAATTGTAGCATGTTGATGCACAAAATCAGTGAGAACTTTGGTACAACAGAAAGTGTTACGTTTGTGACCTTCGCTAGATTGCTCCGGTCACTATTGTGGATAAGTATGTAAATGGATAGGGACATGGAAGCAAACACAAGATGTACGTGATTCACCTAGATTGGCTACGTCTACAGAGTAGAGGAGTTCTCATTAATTGTGAAGGGTTTACACAAGTATATAGGTTCAAGCTCTCCAATAGTGAGTACTAGTGAATGATTTAGTACAAATGACATTAGGAAATATTGTGAGAGAATGATCTCCTTTTATAGAAGAGTTTCTAACTTTATTCTGACATTGACACATGTCGTGTTGTGATTGACTTCTGACATTGACACGTGTCATGCTGTGATTGGCTTCTGATGTCGACATGCGTCGCATTGTGATTGGCCTCCTGGTTGGAGGGAAACTCTTTTGGATCCTTGACGGTATAACGTTGACCGGTGCTCAGTAGTTTCGGGATTGGTCAAGTATGGTACAAATATAGCCGTTAGATCAAAATCTAACAGCCCGTGTGATTTGGTCAAGAAGCTCAGATTTCTGAGCTCTGGAGATGATCCAAATCTGTGGAAATTGAGGAAAATGTCAGTAATAGAGGACTAAAGAATGTATTAATTTATTCTTGTAGTACCACTCAAGATGGCAATCAGATTAAAGTTAAAGTTTTCCTCGAAGATAATTATAACCATGTAAAGATGAATGGATTATATATGGATAAAATGTTGGACTGCAAGCATTGCTACTGAGGATTGAAGAAGAAGGGTTTGATCCTTCTGCAAGTTTTCCATTTCTGTTCTTAAGTTGTAACTGAACGGCTGTGATTAGAATTAGCTAACATGCTAGATGAATGCCATCTGGCATATCAAATAGAAATTTAAGTGAGTCATGTACATTGCACGCGTCACGCGCTCTATTTAAGCTGAGTGAGTAGGGTTGCAACGGCTACTATGCTATGCACCCGCACTCCTCTTGTGTGATGTAATTCATCATATGTGAGTCAAGGGGTTGGAGCAACGACTCCATCTTTTTCCTCTCGCTCTTCTCCATTTTTTTGCTACTGAATTTTTCAATCTTTGATTGATTTTTTTGATTGAAATACAAACCATACACCTACAACTATATATTCTAACATAAAAAGTGAAATAAGAAGTGAAAACTCAAATTATCCAAAAAAGTTATTCGATACCTAATATTAGATTAGATAGCTCATACAGTTCAAAGAATATGGGATCAAGGCATATGGGAAGGTAGAGGTAATTTTTTATTTTTAAGGATTATAAGAGATCAGACTTTAAGATTTCTTCGTTTTTTACTTCAACATATCTAAAATAATGTAAATTATTTAATTTAATTTAAGCACCCAACGAGTCCTAACTAAACAATCTACTTTGTGCAATTTTCAGTGAGACTAGCAATGGTACTACCTCTGTTCAGTGACACACATATATTACTAATGTTTTAAATATATTTTCCTAAGTTGCAAGTACCAGGACTATATAATCTCTGAGGACTATTAATATATAATCACCTGGTGATTGGTTAATGTGGATGCAAATTTCTTCCTCCTTGATCTTGGATAAAATTGCACCTACAAAACAATTAACACCTTTGGTCAAGGCCAAGAACCTCACGCGTCCACGATGAATTGGAGCAGGGGGGTTCTTTGGCCGAAGAACCTCCGATGCGAAAGTTAGAATTTAGATAGAAAGTGTTTAAGAATTTTAGCAAGAGACTTGGAAGTAGTTTTTTTGAGAGAATGGAGAGCTATTTATAGGGATATGGCCGGCCCTATTAGGAGAATAGGGACCGGCCATTTGGGGTATCTTTTGGGTGTAATTTATAGTTAATTAGCCATTAATAGATTAATTAGGTAATAAATCCATTAATTGACTAATTAACATAATTTGAAAGAAATAATTTGGGAGTTACCTTGTGGGGAAGATTTGATGAGGATGGATGAAATAGATTTTAAATTGTTACCTATTTTGGGCACTTTTGATTTGGTTGAAGGATGATTGCCCGCTGCTCACGCGTAAGAATCCCGATATGCCTCAAGGGTATTTTTGTCATCTTTTATCCAAAAAATCCACGTGTCGCCTTGTGATTATTTTTGGCTCCACAAATGCTCGCACACCTGCTGGGCTGCTCGCAGGAAAGGGCAGTAGGTGTAGAGATCTCCAACTTTGATGCAGATTCTCTCTTGGACTTGGATATAGATTCTTCTAGGAAATGGAAATAAATCGTCTCTAAAGCCTATTTAAGCCTACCTTAAGTAGGGGATTAAATCAACTTCGGAGGGCAATTATTTATCCTTACAAGAAAGAGAGAAAGTTAGAGGATATTTGTTCCCCCTCCCCTAGCATTCTTCTTTGCTTGCTTGTGCAAAGAACCGTCTTCCGTTGATTTTTTTTTTGTCTTCTTTGCGCCACACCAATGTAAGAAAAACTTAATTCTCATTGTCTTCTTCTTGGGAGGTACTGCCATGAGACAGCAGTCGGCTGGCAGGGGCCAAGAGTCGGCTTGGCATGGGCCAATGAGATGGTGTGGCAGGGGCCATTGTTTGTGCTGCTCTCTTGATTAAAGCCAAGGATTGGCTAGGCATGGGCCGAGGAAGTGGCATGGCATGGCCAACGGTTTGGGCTGCCATGTCTGGGCTGTTTGCAAAAAATGAGGAAACTGCTTGAGTTTAATTTCTCAGCGGTCGTTGATGGAGCAGTCAAGGATAGAGCTGCTAAGATCGGAGCTATTGAAGATGAAGTGTCGGATGAGTGAACTGTTAAGTGCAAAAGTGGTTGCTGCCCCCCTGACCATTTGCTACCTAGTCGATCTTCAAGCATTTGATCTTTTAAGCTATGTGGCCTTTTCGCACTGGAAAGCTTACCCAGATGGGTGTCGGGGAATTAGTTTACACTCTTGGACTGGAGAGCAATTAGTTTATCCTCTTGCACTGGAGAGCAATTAGTTTATCCTCTTGCACTGGAGAGCAATTAGTTTATCTTCTCGCATTGGATAGCAAACCCATATGGGTATCGGGGAATTGGTTTACCATCTTGCACTGGAGAGCAATTAGTTTATCCTCTCGCACTAGAGAGCAAACCCATATGGGTGTCGGAGAATTGGATTACCCTCTCGCACTGGAGAGCAATTAATTTATCCTCTCACACTGGAGAGCAGACTCATACGAGTGTCTAGGAATTGGTTTATCCTCTCGCACTGGAGAGCAATTAGTTTATCCTCTCGCACTGGAGAGCAGACACAGAAAGAGTTTTGAGTAGTTTTTATGGACAGCAGCTGAGCCAGGCTTATGAATAACTTCTTCAATCTTCATTGAGAATAAAGAAATAAATCAACTGTGCTGTAAGGTAGAAACTGCATAACAAACTGGATAATCTTCGGCTTGCGAAGCCTTGTTCGTCGAGCTACTTGAGAATTCGAACTTATTTGGAAAAACCTAAACGAGGTTCAGGGGGTGATGGAGACTTCCCCTGCTTATGTAGACCGTTTCGTTGACCTGCCAAGATACTCATCGCATCCGCCTTCATTTGTCAGCTTCTCAAGGTAATGCTTCCACTTCAGGCAACCGTTGGTAGTGTGGCCCGATCCTTGATGGAATAAGCAATACTTTGTATGATCTAGCCTGGTAAGATCGCCTTTCATGGGTGGCGGCAGTTCAAACCAAGGTTCGTTCTTCAACTTATGGAGAATTTGGCTGATTGGAATTGTGAACTTGGTGAATGTTTCAGGCGTTGAGTCTTTTTTGGTCGGGGAATGTTCCATGTGCTTATTTTCCGACTCATTTTTGTTAGACTACTTGGCCTCGTCCTATAGTGCATGTTTTTTCTGCCAAAGCATATGAAGTTGCTAGGGTTAGTTCTTCTCCCATGATTAGTTTTCTGAATAAAGGATGTTTGGTGGGAAGCCCATTTCTGAATGCTGTCGTTGCTATGTCCTCGTTGCAGCCAACAATCTTGGCCTTCTCCACTTTGAACTTCTTGACATAATCGCGAATTGTCTCCCAATGGTCTTTTACGATGCTGAAGAGATGGTCAGATGTTATTTTGATTAAGCGGTTAGACGAGTACTCCTTAGTGAAAACAAAGGAAAGTTTGTTGAAACTCTGGATCGACTGCGACAGTAGAGTGTGAAACCAGTTTTACGCCTCGCCTTGTAGAGTTGTGGCAAAAAAATTTCACATAAGCGCATCATTGTTCCTGTAGAGGATCATGGTATTGCGGTAGTGCTTAAGATGTCGATCCGGATTATCGCCTCCCTTGTACGGAGTGAAATGAGGCATAGTGAACCCGCGAGGTGGATCTGTTCGCTCGATCTCATTCATGAATGGTGACATGCTTATGTTGGTCATGTCTCATCGAAACGCATCGTCAGCAGGCTCGTTACGTTGGAAACTGCGCAATCGTTCAGTTAGAAACCTCTCAACTTCTTTTTGAATTTGCCTTTGCCGGGGCAGTGGAACTTTCGGCTGGCCCTGGTCGTGACCTTTAGGTTTGGGCTGCTCTTCCCTATGCTCGACTCGTCTATGTCGCAGCTGCAATGCATGTGGCATGTTTTTTGCAGGCGAACGGGCTGCTTGCAGGGTACCGGTTGAACTTGACTAGGATTGAGTGACTGCTTCTCTTCGTCTACTATGCTGCTTACTCCAATGTGAGGTGGAGAATACTCCTTGCGAGCCTAGTTGTGAATGAACACTTCGCCTAGAAGGTTATCCATGTTGATAATCAGAGTGTGACTTCAACCATGAACGTATACTCGTCCATGGCCTTGATCGGGAATGCATGCTCCTCCGCGCGCTAAGACGAGAGTATACGTTATCCCAAGGACCTAGGCGGAAGCGTAAACTGCCAGAATGCTCTGATCGTGGCTGGTTGATGGGCTACTTGCCGAGACGCTGGTGGAGAGGTTTATCTGCCCTTGTCCTACTTCGAGACACTTCGTTTGGGGCACGTTGGATCTTAGTGCGTTGCAAGAGTTGATTCACCAAGTTTGTCTGTTATGCAAGGACGCACATCGACTTTATGACTTGTCGAGACAAGTGTTGTTCGCCATTTAGATTGGAAGAGCTTGGAAGGAATATGCCTCTCTGAGCAGTGGAAGTGTGGTAGGCTCCGGGCGCGAGATTTGAATTGGGAAATGTCAAATCCATGGAGAAACATTGTGCAAATGCCCCTGGTTCCATCGTAGGCCCATAAATTTAAAGTTGGGACGGTTGAACTAATCTTCGACCGATTTGGGCTTCTTGGAATGCCATGGGAGCAAGCTGGGCCACTAGAGTAGGTTGCTCGGTGCGTGATGTACGCGAGTGCGAGGCTTGGGCTCGGCTTGGCAACGCATTGGGCTCGCGTTGGGCTTGGAGTGACATGGCTTGGGTTGTGGCCTTGGTGCCGTGGGCCTTAGATGGCACGGCTTGGGCTTGCTTTGGTGGCACGACTCGGGCCATGGTAATGGTGCCATAGACCTCGCCACTGGTGGCCACCATAGTGGCCATCGCGGTGGTTCCAACCTCGTGGTAGTGGTACCGCTCCACTTATTGTCACATTTAGCCTCATGGATCGCCACGGTCCCATCTCTTGAATATTGGAATTTTCACTTGTTGAATTTTCTAAGTTTCTAGTCATTGCACTTCTCTTTTATGTTTTATCAAAGAATTTTTGCAAATAGAAAATTCTAATAATAGAAACGTACAAAAAATCTACAAATGGACAACAAAATAGAAAAATCTTTGATGCGAGAGTCTTCTACGAGTGTGTGACTCTTCTCTCAATGAAAGCACCAATTTATGGATGCAAATTTCTTCCCCCTTGATCTTGGACAAAATTGCACCTACAAAGACTTGGAAGTAGTTTTTTTGGAGAGAATGGAGAGCAATTTATAGGGATATGGCCGGCCCTATTAGGAGAATAGGGACCGGCCATTTGGGGTATCTTTTAGGTGTAATTTGTAGTTAATTAGCCATTAATAGATTAATTAGGTAATAAATCCATTAATTGACTAATTAACATAATTTGAAAGAAATAATTTGGGAGTTACCTTGTGGGGAAGATTTGATGAGGATGGATGAAATAGATTTTAAATTGTTACCTATTTTGGGCACTTTTGACTTGGTTGAGGGATGATTGCCCGCTGCTCGCGCGTAGGAATCCCAATGTGCCTCAAGGATATTTTTGTCCTCTTTTATCCAAAAAACCCACATGTCGCCTTGTGATTATTTTTAGCTCCACAGTTAAATTCTGGTTCCATGTACAAATGTCAAATGGGTGTTTGGTGTATCTCCATGGAATGGAACTTGTAGGAAATATTAGTATTTGGCAAAGTAATTTATATAAAACAAATATACTTTTATCGTTACATTTTGCATTAATAATATAAAATTATATAAATAAAAATTTACACATATTTTCGTATCATTGACATGATACAATAGCAATGTACACTTGACCTAAAAGTCTTTCTTCGTGGTTCGGATTCAGTGTTTTCTAAGACATTATTGGAAGTTACAACTCTAGCCGCAGGTTTTCATGAAATGCTGAAGAGATTTTTCAGTATGATCGGCACACGAGATAGTACATTATGTGTCATTATATAAATGATGAGATATATGTGTTAAAAAGTTAATAACTTAAAAAATAAAATTTCACACCATTTACATAAAAACACGTAGTGTACCACTCATATTTCAGTCATAATAAAAAATTTCTTGAAATACTGACCCCTAGAGCCAACAACTATGAAACTGAAGCCGCATTTCACGTGATTTATTTAGGCTTTTGAGACGTGCAAATTGGACAAAAGAGACTTACTCAATACTACAGACATCATGTGATCCTATCCGTTTTACAAGATCTTACTGTGGATTTTTTAACTCCAAATTGCACCATTTTTTTACATTTTCCTTTGCTTGATTAGTCACCATTGACACATGGTTTTGCTTCCTCAAGTTTGAAACAGAAGAATGCATGTGATGGTCAGTGAACAAACTGTGGAAATAAAATCTGTCAATGTGAGATTTTCGGTGTTTATTACTTGATGTAAGTGCAAATGCCTACAATATAGTATTATTTTTATGCATCAAAAGTCTTTAAACTAATCACTTTGTTTCTGACTTTCTGCATCAAAGACATAGGATACCATTCCTTGCTGATTATTAAAATGCTACGGCCAATCACTCATGTAAGTGTATGGTTGATTTTGACCGTTTGTTTTGTGAGTTCCATAAACATGAATTATTAATTAAAAACATTTTATACATGCGTATACAATTGATGTTAACATTTTCTTATAATTTAGTATATTGGTGCATCGCAAATTCAGACCAGCGGTTAGCTGACATCAAAGATGAAAGTATTGAAAATCTAGAGGCTCTTATAATAGGACAACACTTTAGGTGTTAATAGTACTTAATAGTACTACGGGCATTTTCAAAGTTCATGAAACTGTCATGGCAGACATGGTTAAACATTTTCATTGGTGTCACCAGGAGAAATGTTGACCAAGCCTCTTTTTCTTTTGAATGAAGCACTCTCTTTTTTCAACATATTTCATTTTTTTAATCGGATACCTTTTGATTTCTAAAACTAATGGATGATGTTATTTCTTGCAAACATTGGCCAGCTGCTTATGTCGTTAATTGACTTTGTCATCTGATTTAGTGGGGAGCTTTTGGAAATTTTAGGGTTATGAAACCTCATCAGTTTTTCAAATCTTGATTGACATAGCTTTCTAACAACTCTTCATTTTTCATTATTACTTTTTAATGTTGGGATTTTACATACTTTCGTATATGCATCTTCTGATATCAAGATCTTAGATTATTGATTATGACTGCTTGGATTGGGTTCCCGGACGAGCGATTAGTGTCATATTATCTTACTAATTCATTAACGCTACACTATGTATATAATCTGTAAGTATATTACTATATGCAGTTCTGCTACCAAAATAGTAGATTAGATGTCTCAGAAAATCAGATGTTGAATTGGAATTGGATGCCTGACAAAATGCATCAGAGGATAATTTACATAACTCAACTTCAAATCTCTTTCACCTCCTTCTTATCTGAAAGATAAGATCTTGAGGAGTAAAAGAAAAGGTAGGAAAAAAAAAAACGTTCAAAACCCTATCTGCACATTGGGCTTTCTGGGTGGTGAGAAAAGTTGAGCTGGCCCTCAGATGATGAGCAGCCTCCCATATTATTGAAGAACATGTCCTTGTCTTCCTCCACCATCTTCAGAATACCTTCAAACACAGAAACCTCACATGGAATCCTCAGAACGCCGGTCTGCTGAAACCCGAACTCCTCCTCCGCCTCCCTCAACAGAATGTGGAAAGCCGGCCGACCCAAGTAGTCAGTTGGGATGACAAACCTCTTGAGCTCTTCCCCAACACAGACAGCAAGGTAGCCTTTGGGGACAGCAGCATTGTTTGATGCTTCAAATGAAGTCGTTGTTTTTTCAGGCAGAGAAAGTGTCCTCTTCAAAAACTTGATGCTCTTGCTGCTGCTAGTTGCAGTGGTGGCGGCGGTGGTGCCGGAGATTGCATTTGATGAGTTAGCAATCTTTCTCCACTTCTTGAGAATCTGTCGGAGCCTGACAATGTCTCTGATCTTGTTAGATTTCTTTGAATCCATGGTGGTGTTCATTGTTACTGAACCAAACCGTCAAAGTAGATAGCTAGCTTTTTGTGAAAGTGCTTTGTGAAATTGCTTCCTATTTGTCCATTTGAGATGGCCCGTGCTTTCAATTTATAGTGGTTGAGGACCTTAAGATTAATATTTAATATACATTTTTCTATATAAACTAATTCGATATATATATATATATATATATAAAAAGTTATGTAACAACCCTATCAAAAGGTTGACAGTTTCATATATACAAAGAGGACAAAGATTGTCTGCCCTCCCGTGCCCTCCTGTGTGGTCACGGTTAAGTCACGTCAATATTTTATATTGTTTTTTATTGAGATAATAAGACAAAAATGAATAGTAATATAAAATATTGACATGATTTAATCGTAACCACATAAATAGAAAGACATGAAAGGACACAAGAACAAAAAGGGCAGACAATCCTTGTCCATACAAAGAAGCTCAGGTCTCGGGACTGATTGAGATGGGCTATTCTCGTAACGTGCAATTATGTACGCACCAATAGGAATACTATTCAAACTCTCTCTCGTGAGCAAGTTCAAGTTGATTTACATGTGTAATATTTGTAATCGTTCATATTTGTAATACCATAATTTAAACTCTGCCTCATCATAAAATCAGCCTATTTGTTCTAAAATATAAACTTGCCAACCGTCTACTCGTACTGTAACATATAAAGTAATTTGTTATACACGTGATGGTATTTCATGAATACTATAAAGTAATTTTTCTTTTGAAAAGAGTTTGAACATCGCTCCTATATTTTGTGCATCAGTTAAATACGTGAATACTGATCTCTGTCATTGTCTCCGTAGTTTTTAGGGTTTACATTTTCGCACCAATACATGTTTGAGTTTTAAAATTAGGTATATATGTATAGATGAACTCAACTGAAAACGAGGAGTAAAATAGCAATTTATCAGAGTGTGAGAAACGAGCATGACAAATACCAACACTCACGGGAACTCGTAACATTAAACTTACTTTTTTGGCCAAGATATTTTTACTTCTTTAATTCTTTAGGATTTTACAGTTGCGGTGGTCTCAAATTAAGTTATATTTCAGACGTCAAGACTTGAAGATCAGTTCATGTGATTATTTTTATTAATTATTTTCTTATGTTCAAGGAAAATGAAAGGCATAATGGCATGATCTGTGATCTGAAGCGAAGGTAGTTAAGTTAAGTGCTCCACTTTTTTCAAATGAATGATGAAAAAGGTGACGAGTCTAAACCTAAAAGATGCTCAATTATTCGTTCCTGCTTCCTTTTTAAATTTCTTTTTCTCTTTACTTACAAAGAAGGAGAATTCGACTCGAAACACTTGAGACCTCTTTGAAATGCAACTACTCTAAGACCAACATGTGGTTTTTTTTTTTAACAAACGATATTATCTAAATTAATGATGAGGGGGTGGGCTTAGCTTCACAATGAGCTACCAATAATGTAGTTCAAATTTGCATTTGACAAGAATTGAACTTAAGATCTCTCACTCATAACTAAAGAGAAATACTACACTAGTACAAAAAAGACTTTGCGCGACGTAGGACCGTCGTCGCGCAAAGTCAAAAATACGTCGCCCAAAAATTAGCCAAACGTACCTTCGTCGCGCAAGAACCGTCGCGCGAAGGCAGTGAAGGAAGGGTTTGCGCGACGCAGTGCCTACCTGCATCGCGCAAAGATACTTTGCGCGATGCTACTTTGCGCGACGCATTGCCTACCTACGTCGTGCAAACCTTTTTTTTTTTTGTAATTTATATTTTTTAATTTAATTTTTAATAAATATTATAATTAAATTCTAAAAAATAATTAATAAACCAAGAAAAAGTAATTAATTATAGAATATATGAAAATGTACGTTTGTCCGAACACAAAAAATAAAAAACTGCAAGTCTTCTATGACACACCCCGTCCCGAAGGAGGGCATGCTGGCCGTCACATGAGAGTGACGTAACCATTTACACAGTTCGGAAGCTTTTAAAATACAATTATTAAAATGGAAACCCTCGAGGGTGAGTCCTACTTTTGTGATTTCTGTCAGAATACCGTTGGATTCCTCGTGGCCACCAAAACTCTGCTATCAAGAACCTGGAGGGGCGAAAAACAAAATTGAGTGGGTCAGTAAAACCAAGCTTTTCAAAAACATTTCGCCAAAAATAATTCTAACCCCTCACTGTAAAACCTGTATACTTTTCCCAGAAAATAGTATAATAACATAATACTTTTCATAAATCTCGAATCATCAATTTTTCTTTAAAACCCGAAAGTATGCCATGTTTTAATTTCGAAAACAAAATAAATGAAGCATCAATGTAACAGGTGAAAAGTTGAATTAACCGGAGACCCTGCAGTTGGTCCTGTACGGTTAATTCCATAGCTCAACATCCAATCCAACCGGAGTCACCTCGATGACCTGTACGGCACTACACTGCAGATAAGTCGGAACTACCTGAAGTAGTCTGTACGACATGGATGGTGTAATAATACGCTCTAGTGCTTCTCTAATCAATCATCTGTGCACATAATCTAAGGTCACCCAGTAGTCGGAATCACATCTAGTAATCTATACGACTAGCATGTCGGAACCCTCACTTGGTCTGTACGACATCCACCTACTTGGATCCAAGACGAGCGTGCGGTGTGGTGAATAATATAAGCACTAACACCATGATTGCAGGTTATGAGCTATCCACAATATACACATCAACAATGCACATGAATAATATAAAACTCACCTGATACTTACCTGTGCGTCCACAGCACCAATTCAAATATATATATGCATCATATATCAATTCATGCTTTTCATATACTTCTATGCATGGCATTTCAAATCATACTTTTCATATAAATCTATCCATGGCATTTTAAATCATGCTTTCATTTAAATTCAATTTCTGGGAAAACTCAATAGTATATAGGTATTACGAAAACAAAACTGCCCACTCACCTGGAGTTCGCCCTACAACTCCCTAGCACAACTCATCAAGGCGTCATGACGATCGCCGCCTAGAACAATAATCAAATCCAACCTCAGAAATCATATCGATAGAATATAACTTATATAAAATACGTCACTACATAGATTGATCCGAAAGATCTGCAACTCAGATTTTAAATCCATAACTTCCAGAGGTCCACAATATATCTCTAGGACAACATCCTGAAATTTCATTACCATCCAACGGTCGGATCTCCGTCAATTTCCAAAACTAAGTGACGGTTAACATTTTATTTTATGAACTTACAACTCCAATTCCGGAAGATCCGTAACTCGGATTCCCAATCCGTAAGTTCCAATAATCCTCAAATATTACGTATTTCAACGTATCAAAGTTTGGTGACGATCCAACGGTCGGATCGTCAATTCATATTTTCACCTAAAGGCGAAAACTATAAAACGTTATTTAAAGCACCTAACCAATAATCGTAATAACTTTCTCATACGGTACTCAATTTGGGTATATGAATATACCACAGTGATCTACTCGACGTCACGAACGTCGACATATTTTTAGATTATTTTTTTGATGTGCCACGCGCCCCCACGCGCCAGGACAAGCACGGGGACACGCGCCCCCACGCGCATCATCCCCAACCTTGGTTCGCCGGACTGGTTTTTTCCGGCGGCCGGAAAACTGGGGAATTTTCAAATGCTTCGTTCTCCTTCGTTTCTCAACCATTTTCTTCGTATAATATATCAATTTAAAGCCCTCAACATGTAGAATCACAATAGACTAGTTTAAGGCTCTAAAAATCAAGAAATCTCACCGGAAAAATCCAAACAAAATCGGCCAAACTTAACCCTCGTGATCCCGACGTCCAAATCCTTCCAACGAAGCACTCCGAGCTTCCTTGGGACCTCACTAAGCTCACTATAAGCTTAGAATTCCCTGAAACACAACATATTACGAGTGCATGAACAGTGACGAAAAATATAGGTTCGGGTTTCACGTGATTCCGAGGGTTTCACTTCCTAAAACTAGTACCAATCGACTTAAAATGACTCAAGGATGAAGATGCATACCTTGGTTGCCTCGATCCGTCGAGTTTGGAAGATTTTTGGGTGTGTCCGTACGTATGGGTGTGTGTAGAGAGAGAGTCGGGATGGAGGAGAGAGAGAGCCACGGGATAGAGAGAAGGAAAGTGTGAGGGTATAGGTGACCAAAATCAATCCACACCATCCATTCTCTAAATCCCTAACCAAACAAACAATCCAACTTTTCAATATTTTTATCCAACTTAAATGACATTTCCAATAGTTTAGGAAAAATATGAAATATCCAAAACATGTCACACACACACCTTAGTGACGTCAAGGGTATTTCCGTCATTTCACACTCCTGATATGAAAATCTCGGGACGGGCTGTGACAATCTCCCCTCCTCATAGAATTTCGTCCCCGAAATTCCCATAACCAAATAGACCACTTAATATCCATAGAATAACCTCGGGTATTCTCTCTCATCCGATCTTCGGTCTCCCAAGTAGCTTCTTCCACGGAGTGGTTCCCCCACAATACTTTTACCAAGCTCACTGTCTTATTCCTTAGAACCTTGTCTTTCCAATCAAGTATCGTCACCGGCTCCTCTTTGTAACACAATTCTGGGTTAAACTCTAAGGGTTGCAGAAGGATCACATGCGACGGATTTGTAACATAAAGTTGAAGCTCCGAAAGGTGAAACACATTATGTACGCTGGACAGCTCTGACGGCAATTCAAGCTTATAAACATCTTCACCGACTCGCTCGGTGATCTGATAAGGTCCGGTGTACCTAGGACTCAACTTACCTTTCTTTCCAGATCGAACAACACCTCGCCACAGTGATAACTTCATAAATACCCAATCACTTACCTTGTACACTCGATCCGAGGCATGTCTGTCTGTTAAACTTTTCTGGCGATCTTGGGCCGCTTTCCAAGTTAAAATTAATCACTCGAACATCCCAAGTAGACTCATCCGTAACCTCAGGGCCCGCAAGAACTCTTTTGACAACTTCTGTCCAACAGAAGGGTGTACTACAATCTTTACCAAAAGTGCCTCAAATGGTTTCATACCCATGCTCGAACGAACGCTA